GCCTGTCAAGAGGAGCCTTGCGCAGCCTAGAGAGCTGGCATCGACGATGCTGAGAAGGAGGAACAGCAAGCGAGCAAGCATGGCAGGCGGGACGAAGCCTTTCAATTTGAGGCCATACATGGCGATGTCGAAAAGGCTCCGGGCCTGCACTCACTGTACTTGCATGGGTATCCGAGCTTGAGGCACCTTGAAGAGTATTTGCCCATCTCTCCGCACCAGGCCCCTTGCCCGCGTATGGATTTCGCGCTCGGCCCATTTGAAAGCCATTGCCATGGCTTGCGCGGCCAGCGCAGGACCTTTCGAAACGCCCGCCAGCTCCTTTTCTCGTTGCAGCGCTTGCCCCTTTCCGAACGCCTCGCTTTCGCCGGGAGATGTGAGCCGTCTTTGCTCTGCTGATGGCACGTCTGGGACAGGCTCCATGTAGCAAAGAAAGACACCTTGGCTTTCTTTCGCTCCTCTCCTGTACGCCCCAAGCGCCTCTACCTTCCACCTCACGTGAAATTTGTAATTGTTCAACAACCTCTGACGACTGTCTTCATCCAGAACATCTACATCTTTCTGTTGTCGCTTCCCCTTGATGACCCAAGGATTCGCATGTTTGGGGCTGTTGAGAGTCTCTCGAATTGTAACGACGAGTTTTTCGATCTGCTTGCGATTCAATAGGTGCGTCCCGGGATCCACAGTAGGCGAAAGGGCTCGATCTGGTTGATCAGATTTGCTGCGCTTGCTTGATCTGCGTGTACTCTTTGTATCTGAGCCTCCAGCCTTGACCGCACTTGTAGGCCGACTCTCTCCGCCAGCTCTCATGACACTGCGAATGCGGCTTTTTACCTCTTCTCGAGCGAGGGCTTGCGCATCTCTGCGCCGGTCCTCCACAGGGGGACGATCCTCGTGCGCGGGTCGCAGCGTGCTTGTCGATGCTGTTGCGCATGTCGAAATGGCACGCTCTCGCTGTATCGGCGCTGCTGAAGTGCAGACTCGCTCTGCGTAACCTGCGGAGGATCGGCTGGAATTTGCGACCAGGCTCAACACCGCTTGAACGTTGCGAGGGATGGACTGCATCGTGAGGGCCGTACGGGCCTGTTTATGCCAGGAAGAGATGCAAGCTCACCGCTCCTCCAGCAGTCAGAAAACTGGTGATTATCAGTTTGGCGGAATGGAGCGCTGATTGGGTGTGATTGTGCGTGATTGATGGGGTCTAAAGGCGCGGATGGTCTTCTCTCGCTTCGTACTTTTTGATGGCTGCGAAGAAGTCGGGCATGAGGAACACCACATGCCATGCAGGCGTCACGTGCCCCACTGTGTGCTCAACGGCAACGGCCGAACGCCCACAGACTCGTGAATAAGGGACAGGGACCTCCACTTCATTCACCTCTCTGCGCGGCGAGATGAGCTGATGGAAGGACATACCGCGGTGATTCGTGATTGCACGGCTCACCCGCCTCGACTCACGACTGTGACTTGGGCAAATTGCGTGCTCTTTGCCTCGGATCCCTGTCACGGCTCTTTCTATGCAGGCTATAATATATATACTGGTACATGAATCAATAGACGCCCCCGGCCGCGCTGGTCGCGCTCCCACGGCCAACAAGCTTGATTCAAGCATCGAATCAATACATTTCAGCTCTCACTCTTCAACGAAACGCAATCATGGGCCTACCAGACGCAGACATTTTCCCTCACGCCACTGGCAAGGCGTCCGAGGTGGTGGCAAAGCACAAGTCAGAAGTTGGACCGGAAGGAATCAAGTTCTACGCGGGTTGGTTCTGTCCCTACGTGCAAAAAACATGGATCGCCTTGCTAGAGAAGCAAATTCCATTTCAATACATCGAGATTAATCCTTATCACAAGGATCCTTCCTTCCTGGCAATCAACCCCAAAGGTCTGGTGCCGGCGATCGAGTCCCAAGGATCGACGTTGGCCGAGTCCAACATCCTAATCGAGTTCCTCGAAGACTTTGCTGATGGGAGCAATAGCAAGTCGAGCAGGAAGCTGTTGCCCGCTGCACCCCAAGCTAAAGCTGTGGCCAGGATGCACATCGATCAGATCAGCAAGAAGATCGTGCCTGCTTGGTTCAGGACCATCCAGGCCCAAGACTCGCAAGCACAGGCGCAGGGAAGGAAGGATTACACGGATGCCCTCAAAGAATGGGCTACGTATATCGATGACAACAAGCTCCACAATGGTCCTTTCCATGGAGGAGACGAGCTTGATGCGGTCGATATCAACCTTGCTCCCTTTGTTGCTCGCGAGTACCGTGAGTGTCTCACCGAGTCAAGCTTGTGCGCTCTCTTCAAGAGAAGAATCGCCCCCTGACATGAGTATTGTGCCTCGCAAATCCTCGCACCCTACCTCAACACCAGTCATCGAGAAGCATCGCGGCGGACCGATCACAGCAGAGGAAACGGGCGAGACGTATCAAATATGGCGCAAGGCGATCCTCTCTCATCCTTCAGTCGTCAGCACGACGAGCGACAAGGAGAATTACGAGCCTATTTATGGACGTTATCTTCGGGACGAGGTGCGTTTTGCCGCTTTCTCTCACCTCTCGAGTTTCGAATCATTCTCGAGATTGCTGACCTCGCGATCCTTCCTCTCGCCTTGACTTTCGTCTGTAGGCGCAGAGCGAGGCCGCGAAAGCTACAAGAGGTGGTCGAGCAATTCCTTAGCCTGTGTGCCGGGTCTTGACGCACGCAAATGGGAGGGTCCTTTCCTGCTACTTGACCGTGCGTGAGAAAGATAAGACGCTGCGATGTGTCGTTTCAAAACCGGCTAAGCAGGTCTGATCACCGGTAGCCGCTTGATGTGGCAGAGAGCAGCCAGCTCTGGCCAGCGGGCAGCAGGCAGTCGAGCGTCATGGCCATTGAAAGGTTACAAATAGACGTGCCCGCATCCAGCGATCCGCGCGCGGTCGGACCTGAACGTCGCCATCTGCTTCGTTGCTCGTCTGGCGTTTGACATCACACAGCTTCTGATGAGAGAAGTCCAGAGGGACGTGCGTTGCTTGCTCTGAAGCGTTGATTGGGGCTCTTAGGTGGGACAGAGAATCAAAATTGCCTTGATGAGATGGGCTCGACGATCCTGGCTAACGAGCGCGCGCACCCGCGAGGGCACCCCAGGGTGCGCGTATCCCAAAGCGAGAGCCAGCGGATCCGCGTTTGCACAGCGCACAAAGTCGCGCCGCGATACGTGACAAAGGAGCTCAAGATATCCACACTAGCTGTGACTCACGGACTTGGCATCCTCGCTGGTCTTGAATGAGCCGATCGAGCGCCAGGTGCCTGGTGGTCGGAGCGGCTTCGGCTTGAATTTCTATCTCGGTCACATACAATCAGAATCTAAAAGTGTGACTTTTGACTACTATCCAGCGAGAACGCTCGCGTCAGGATCCACGCGGGTGCGCGGTCCAGCTGCTGTGGCTATACGCACGCGCACAAAGTGAAACTATAGCTGCATGTGCCTCACGACTCACGACGGATTCACCTTTCAGATTCGAATTCTGGTTCGCACCTCTGCTAATCGTGAATGCGGAGCGCTACGTGATGCGGCAGCGCCTGTGAGCCGCTGGACTGATGTCGAGCAAATAAAGTGCGGAGATTACGCTCTGATTTTTAGCGTCTGCGCATGTTTGTATTTGCGCGTGCGAAAATGCAGGGCTCGCTCAGTTGCTCTCTCTGCTGACGCGCGCGTCTGCTGCTTGCTGCTGCATGGATGCATGAATGGGTGAAGCGTGCTGCTGATTACTTGTCACGACGTTGTGTTGCCCTGCTGCCCTGCCTTGCTTATTGTACGCGGTACGCGTGCGCGTGTGCACGCGTTGCCAATTTGCGCTGTCTTGTTGTTGTCCAGCGCGTGCGCGCTGCGACAGCTAGCATGCACTCACTTATAAGCACGAATAACCCCCGCTGTTGATGCTGATAATGGATGCGCTGCAGGAGTCCACCCGTGCGCGAGCTTGAGCGTGATCAGTGTGCTGCTGATGATGCTTTCGCGCACGCTAAGGACGCGAGGTTGATTTGAAGTGATCACATGAAGATCATCGCTGTCAAAGTTGCTTTTGTGTGGGCATTCGATTTCGATTCAAGTATAGGTCACAGTCGTGAGTGGCACTCGTGACTTCATTCTTGCCCTACATCAGCCACTTGCTGGGCATACATTCGCATTCCACTCGCCAGCATCTCACCCTTCGCTACGTAAGCATCCTCATCGACGCTCGGGCTAGCGGTTTGACTACTGAAAGCCCGCCTCCGCAACCGCAATGACCTGCAAGGGGTCCGTTGACATACCCGCACCCGATGCTGCTGTGACGACCGAGCTTACGAGCCAATTTTAACGACCTTTAGCTCGCGCCACAAATCCCATTCATCATCACTACCAATCCATCAAGAACGAAGCGTCTGGGCTCCCATTAAGAATTCGGCTGCAAGTCCGCTGTGGCGGCATTTCAGGGCTTCTCTAGGCTTTTGACGTCGGCCAGACCGACTTTGCGACAGCGACGACGCTGGCATTTGCTGCCCCACAAGCTGCGAGCGCTGCGCACCTTACCAGCACTGCGACATCACAATGACGTCAGCAAACGGCAAGTCTACATTTCTGCCTTCCACACCAGGCATGGATGGCACGCGGTCCTTTCTGGCCTTCGACGAGCTCTCGTCATCACCCCGAACGCCAGCGCAGGCGGGTTCTGCCACCTCCAGTTCTCCGGCCCTTGACGGTAGGGCACAAGTGTCTGGCAAATTGTCCTTGGCACCAGCGAGTCCATCTGCAGGTCGAGGCGGAGCTCCTCAGCCTGCACCCGGTGGCCCGTCCAATCGGTCTCTGGTCCGAGACGAAGAGCTGTGGGAGACGGTGGATACGGAGTCACCCTTGATGGGCTCGACGGACGGCTCGGATCCATCAGATGTGCCTGCACAGGATGGACCATCTGCTTGGGATAGCTGGAACCCGCGCAATCCCAGGGCTTCCGCACATGGCAAACTTAAGGCCTTGGAACGACCTGCACCCAACTCGCGCGGAAGCCGTTTGGGCGCGTTGTTGGGCAAGAGTGGAGCGGCCTCAACACCGCCGCGAGAGCCTTCTGCAGCGTTCGAACGCGAAGCTTTTCCCGTTGCTGCTCAGTCTAGAGATTCTGAGCGACCGGCAAGAGCGCAGGTGGGATCGTCTAGCAGCGCTTCGACGTCTTCTGATGGCGAAAACGTCTTTAGACATGCGCTGCGGACGGAGCGCGGACCGGAGTCGCGCGCAGTTGCAGAGCAAAGCGGGACCGCATCGGCAGCGATGGGTAGAAAATTATCGAAAAGCAGTCCTGTCTCTCCTAGCCCATCATCGACAGTCGCGGCAGAGCAGCCGCCTTCGCAAACCAGCCCCAACGTTTCTGCTGCGGCTGACACACTCGAGCCGCGAGTGAGGACAGGCAGCGTCGCGGCGATGGCAGCAAGATGGGGCGGCTCGTCCCTCAAAGACGCACACATTTCCCAATCAAAAGGCTCCGCTCCCGTGCCGGCGCCGCCTCCGCGACCCGAGAGATCACCGCGAGAGCCGGGTCGACTGAGCTCTGCATTTGCATTGTCCAAGTCGCCTAGATCTGCCAAATCTCGCAGCAGGTCACGCGATCGTGATCAGAACGAGAATGCTCGCGGTTCTGCGAGTCGAGCCTCGCCGCCAAGTCCAACACGACCAAGGCCAGACAACAAAGGTCGGATCGATAGTAATCTCTGGCGCAAAGTCTCCGACATCACTAGGAACGCGGACCAAGCGATACCCAATCCAGCTTCTTCTGTGAGTTCTGGCGAAAGTCCGAACGAAGGGCTTGGCATCAGCAGCCCACGTCGGGCGTTGAACCGGACGGCTTCTCATGGCGATCTGATGTCGCCAAGTAACGATGACGTCTACACCGGAAATAACTCCACTCATCTTGCCAATGGAGATGTGTCGACGAGTTCTGCGGGAGATGTGATTAGTCCAGGCGCAGCATACAAAGCTCAGGCCTTATATGGAGGTCAGGGGAACGCCTCTGCATCTCTGACGAGCAACGACAGCTCCACGACCAGCAACACAGGAAGGGGCAGGCTCAGCAGGCTCCAGTACAACAAACCGGACCGCATATCCATCATCGGTGACAGGAGCTGGGACCTGCCATCCCAACGCGGGGCTAGCGCAGGTGAAGGGAGTGACATATCGAGACCAACTACGACAAGGCGAGAAGGTGCAAAAGCGCAGGATTTAGGTAGGCCAGACAATGCGCACTCAAATCGGTTCGAAGGCTCCTCCATCAATCAGGATGGTCCTTTGCCCGCTTTGAGTTCTCATCACAGACAAACGCAAAGCGTCTCGAGTGCCCCGAGATCGAGTCACAACGAGCAGCGACTGAGCACGGCACCGCATCGCGAGCTTCTGCTTCCTGCGCTCACCAGCGTCAGGTCAGCAGAAGCGACGTACAGTCTGTCTAGGCACGCATCGACTGAGTACGGCGCTACCCACGAACCGAAGTCTTCCGCTGCGAATGTGCTGGCTCATGCTCGGGAGGACTTGCAGCTAGCGAACGGAAGCGGGTTAGACGCCGATGACGAGGCGAGTCCGAGCACCACTGGAACCACATCGGCTTCGCGTCATGGCAGATGGAGTCAGCGAAGCCACAACACTTCCCTGGGCGGCTCGAGCGATGCGGGTTCTCTTACATCTCCGGGGACCAGCATTGGAGGGCATCGCCTATCACAAAACGCTCGTTATTCGGGTCATACCTCCGGAAATGCGGCTGGGAGCGTGCGCCCCACGGGCAGCGCTGCAGCAGCGCCAGTAGATGAATCCCAGCCGCCCCCCACGCCGGGCCTGAGTGATGTAGGCTCACCACGCTTTGGCATGCTTTCTGATGCTGATATCGCAGAGCTGGGCACAGTACCCGGCGTCTCTCCAGCTTCGCTCCTCAACGCAAATGGTGCTCCTCTCAGTTCCAAGAGCGTCCTCACCATCGCTCTGCAAAAAGCACAGAGCGCTGTAGTCATGGACAGCGATAACAATGTGCCAGAGGCTATAGCGGCGTACAAGCAGGCCGTCAGGTTGCTGCAAGAAGTAATGGATCGTATTGCCCCAAATCGGCCGCGGAAGAACAAGAGCAGCCGCGAGGAAGAGCGTAGGCGTTTGCGCGTCATTGTGAGTAGACTTGAAAGTGCTCGCGATGTCGCATCTATCACCCGCGCAAGGGTTCGAGCGCAGCGCTGAGCTGACCGCTGACTGCTCTCCTCGTAGCACGACACTTACGCGGAACGGATACGCTTGCTGTCACTGTTGTACGAACCAGACGAAGAGATCGCTAGCGCTTCAACTGAAGATGGTGATTGCTCGCCTCAACGCAGCGCCGATGTGCAAGTCCCGAAGCAATCTCCCCCAACAAACCGGTCACGAGGGACTATACAGTCTTCGCTCGCATTTCCCCGTCAGCCAGAGTCCGAGGCCGCGGACGCGCACTTCCGAGCGGATATTCGGCCATTAGAAGGGGCGACGGGCTCAAATGATGTCAAAAGAGACGTCGCTCGCAGCTCTCTCACTACACCTTCTATCTCCGTACAAGCTGAGCAGGTACAGCGCAATCGGTCACGAGATTCAACCCGGGACAGTCTCGACGACCAAGAGGTATTGGCGGAAAATGGACACAGACTTCCACGTCCGAACGCTGGGCACCACGAAGCGCATCGAGATCGATCGGATTCAGAAAGCTCGTTCAGATCAGCTGTGGGCACTGGGCCTGGCTTGCCTTCCGGCGCTCTTCGAGTTCCCGACATTACGCGTGCTAGCACTGCCTTGTCCGTTGGGCTCGAAGAAGAGTTCAAGACGCCGACCACGCCGTACTTTGATGTAGACCCCAATCTGTCGATCGACGATTTGCGCAGCGCAAGTACGCCTACCAGGCGCTCTTTAGACGATTCTTCTCGGCCTGGACGGTCGTCCGAATCCCGACGAGTGTACGAGCACCAATCCAACTTGGGGTCCGGAGCTACAGGCTCTCTCTCTGGTGTCAGTCAACGACTCAACGTTGAACGACCTCTTAGAAGCCATGGCACAGCGATGGAGCGTCGATCTAGTAGCGAGAGCAACGCCTTGGCTGCAGTCAACGCAGCTGCAGCAGATATGGGCTCTGCGATCTCTACGCCCCGGACGAGTGGGGCCCACCAGCTCGATCTGGCGCAGTCCACGGCCGACGCTGCGTCAAGCCAGACTAGGCTCAACGCAAGCGCTGCGAAAGGGACGACCAATGGGGCGGCTTCAAGCCCCCACCAGCCTCGTCTGCTTGTAAGCCCTTCGGTCTCACGCGGGACCATCAGCCAGCGGCGACAAAAGGTGCCGCACTTTCTGGACGTCATGCCGGCGGCAAGGGCCCCTTCGCCCGGTTCTAATGCGTCTTTATCGGGCAACAGCTTGCTTGCCACTCCCACAATGGAAGCGCTCACTTTTTTCGATGCGCAGCGGACCGGCTCGGAAAAGAGCTCGAGCTCGCCAAGAATGGAGCGCACTTCTGCTGGACCCCATGGATCTTTCGTCCCGTCGCCACCTCATTCTGGAGGTCAGCTGGACTCGGCTGGTCGAAAGAGGGCTGCTTCCCAACCCGGAAATCGTCGACCCCCTTTACCGGCGCAGTTCTTGCCGTCGAATGGCGAAGGTGCACCGCCGATGCCCCGGATAAGCCGCAAGTCATCTATGCCAGGCTCTCCTGCTGGACCGTTGACTCCGGGTGCAGCCGCGACGGGCCTGCGTGTGTACGCTTCGACAAACGCAGCACAGGCTGCAGCGACGCAAAGATTACACCCAATGTCTAGAGCGGTGTCGGCCGGCCGCAGCCCCTCGAGTAGTGATCGAGCGGGGCAAGCTCACTCAAATAGCCAAGCGTCGGCAATGTCTTTCGTCTTCCCTTCGGGTCTGCACTCGGCATCGCGTGGCCATCCTTCGTTTGCGTCTGGCATCAAGGTCACAATTCTACCCTGGTTAGGCGTGGGAGGTGGACCAGCGGAATCGTCTATCGCTCCGCCGATTCCCATCGACCCATCCCTGCGGCCTTTCCATCTCATGCGTCAGCTGCATTTGAGCATCGTCAAGGGCGCTTTCGTCACCCGCAAGCTCTACGTGCCCAAGGAGTTGTGGGCGCAACAGGGAGCCAAGCTTTCATCGCTGGAAAGCAAAATTCGAGTGCTCTTGCTCGTCACAAGCGCGGTGCAAGGTCTGGAGACGGCCGGTGAGGCTTTGCTTCAGCCAGTAGGCGATGAGCCTGGCTTGCTCGTGGCCCAGGGGGCATACTTTGGAAAGCAGCTGGAAGAGTTTGACGCCTTGCTCGTGGAAGCGCAAAATAATGTTGCCAAAAAGCTGAGCTATATTGACGCGATGGCCGGCAAAAAGACTTCGGTGAGTTTTGTCAGGGACTTGCTGATCGACATGGCTTGATAGATGCTCAACAAGTCGCGCGCTCGCAGGGTCTCGGTTCCTTTGGATCGAAGCTTACGCGTGGGCTGGATCGCATGGCAAACGGCGGGAAAGGCGTGGACTCGCCCGCGACATACGTAGACGCGTTGTCCCGCACGTTCACCCGATCACAAGTGCTAGGTGAGTGGCGATGACATGAAGCCCTGATGCAATTTCTGCTAATCGCTGTGCCTTACGTTTGCAGGTTCGCATTTGGTCGCAATCCTGCGTGCAGAAGGCCGCACTGGTCTCGCGCAAACGCCTGCTGCAGCAGGTTTGGAGGCCTATGCTGCTCTTCCTGCGGAGTTGCGGGCGATCATTGAGGCCAGGCTGAGACGAGCTTCTGACTTTTACGCCAACGTCATCGTTCGCATCGCTGTACACGATGTGCATGTTCTCTCCGAACGGTGAGCATTTATTCAGCAGAACGGCGATCAACCGCACCAATCTGACGAGGTGCGTGCTTCTTTTGTACAGGCTGTCAAAACGCGCGCATGCCGCTCTCTTGGAATGATTGAGGAGAAGGTCCAGCGAGGCGCCATCTTGCGATTTTCTAGCTCATTCCGCCTCTGCTTCGTGCACGTCCTACGACCCTAATAACGTATCTTGACCTACTCTTATGGACTCTTTTGCCTCGTGTCGCTGATCCTACATCTTTTTGCCATGTTGTCTTTGTACCTATTGATCAAATGCGATGCTTTGCGGGTACCACGCGAATCGATCGTGTACTATGTAGCGCGGCTGCCCCAAGGCATGCCACTGAACCGACCGCCTTGACGAGCGTTTGTGCCGGCACCGGCGGTGGAAGGAGGAGCGGTACGTCTCCAGGCTGCACTCCCCAGAGACCTGGTGGGCTCCTCTGATGTTCTCACACCCACACTGATGGGTTCGGGCAAGGTGGGCAGGAAAGGCTTGGAAGGAGGAAAGGCTATCGAGAACGTTCCAGCTTCAGTCCGCCCGCCCGTCTTGAGCAGGTGGGCCTCAAAGGCTGACAAATTGTGTAAATTCGCCTGAAGAGAGGGAATCGCAACATCGCGAAGAGATTGGTAAGAGGCTAACTCGCTTGTTCCGTCGCTGATAGGCCTGGGCAGCGCCGAGACCCGGACTCACTTTGAACGCTACATCGAGCGCATCGCCCACAAAGGGGATCATGCCGACAAATGCATCCACAAAGACGAAGATGAGCTAAAGAATTGCGAGATTTGTCAGTGTGTGCTCCTGCAGCGGCCACACCGTCGAGGGATGCGTCCCACTCACCATCCAGGTGATGACATTCTGTGGCAGCTTGAAAAGACTGGCTAGCCAGACGCAGTACAAGCTGAGCACTAGACCTATCCAATCTCCCACACCGGGTACGAATCCAATGACAGAGTCCAGTCCGATGCCGAAGGGCAGATGAAAAGAGTCGGTGAGTAGAGGCATGGCATCCAAGAAGAAGCTGGCAGTGCGCAAATGATTGTACAGCGCTTGAGCTTCCGCATCTGTCCTGGGTGCGCTCAATGTTGGAGGAATGTACAGCGCTTTGAAGGCGGTGTTTGGAACCGGCACACCATCCTGAGCTGCTGCGCTACCTCCGCTCGAAGTTGCATTCGGCCTGTCTCCACCCATACCCTGCGCGTTGAGGAAGTGCCTCAGAAGAGGCTGCACCAGAAATGACATGGTTCAGCTTGCAAATGGAAGCCCGAATCTCGAACGCTTCTTGTTCCTTGATGGCCAATGCACGATCTCTCTTCCACGCGCATGGTAGTGTGAGTCACAGTGTCTTCAGCTTGAGACTCCAAGTCTGATGAGTGTATCGTGCAAATGTGAATGTAGGAATGAGACGCGAGTGCGAGTGCAGTCAGGAGTCCGGCCCTTTTCTTGCTGAACACGGACGCTACCTACAGTCACGTAGTAGTACATGTAAAGCAGCACCACCTTCGGCGAAGCGGACATCACCAAGTCGCGAAAGTCGAGAGGCCAACACGCGGTGAACTTCGTCCAACGCACGGACTCACTTTCGACGCACGACTCTCTCCTGCTCCTGCTGGTGCATCATGCATGCCCGCTAAATCACGTGGGAAATAGCCAAGGCGGGCGTTCGGCACGCTTTGATTGCATGCAGTCGTCAGTCTCGACTCTCGAGTTCTTGCGCGTGAGTCTTGAGTGCTAGGGAGCAGCAATCTTGAATTACAAATTCGCTGCCCAAATGAAGCGTGAATGTGAAAGCTACCACGATTGACGATTGACGATTCACGATTCACAATTCACAATTCACAATTCACAATTCACAATTCACAATTCACAATTCACAATTCACAATTCACAATTCACGACTTCATTACAGACTTGTGGCCCTCACAGTAATTACCCTATATACCCGCATACCCCTTCATATACCATACTGAAGACAGCAACGCCCACACTCAAAAGACCGTAGCCACGCCCGACATCATCGTAACGCCCAAGCCTGACCTCGTCCGCATCACCTTCCGGGCGGCGCATTCATTCTACCCCCGGCCCTCTGGCAGAAGACCTGCTCTGGCTGGAGGTAGTCTCGTCGTTTGCGCTCGACCACCATCCCACGTCGAGAGCAGTCATCGCCAGCAAACAAAATCGCTTCCCTTGCCATCGCCTGGCATTTCAAAAAGCAGCTTTCTGTGATCGTTGCAAGATGGTACGCGGTATCAGGCTAGGCTCTCCGCCTCGCCCCCCTCAAACGTATCACATGCAAGAGCGTTATGCTCAGCACAAGCGCAAGTCCAGATGGTGCAAACGCCCACCGCTTCGTTTCGTCTTGATCTGGGCCGCCTTTGTATTTGTATTGACGGTGCTGTACAAGGTTTCCCATGACACCATTCGCCAACCCCTAAGCGGGTACAAGATTGGGTGGCAAGCTCATGACAAGATCAGCGTCAGACCGGATCTGAAATCCATCAGTCAAGCTCAAAATGGAGAAGCGTCGAATGGGGCAACAGCACAGGAAGCTTGGGATTCTGAAGCGCTAGATTCAAGCTTGGATCCTTCATTTCCTCTGGACGCATATGCTCCGCTCCTTCCCAATCCTGCGCCCATCACGGACATCACCGTAGAGAGCTGCAGCCTACTGAGCCTGGGCCCTTGTTTGCCTCGTTCCTCGCAGCTCAAGGAAGCCAATCTAGGTCGCTGGGTTCGCGTGGAAAGGCCGCTGGGCGCTGACACGGCCGCGCAAAAGGGAAGAGGCGCTTTGGGCGGTGGGGTGTTTGACAAGCTTTTTGGAAACATCGAGGTGAGTTCGTGGCTTGTATGCGTGCAATGTGCGATTGTTGCTCAGACTGCGCATCTGCGCCACAGAGTCGCTACATCTTCTACCGCCGCTCGCGTCGAGCAGGCGTTAGAAAAGTCGTAGACGTCAAGATAGTCAAGGCGAACCAGCCGGCCCCAGGAACGCGCGAACAAGGATGGCACAGGACCAAGAAGGACCTTGGCACGCCGTTCTTCAGAATGCTGGGCACAGGCGAAGAAGTACATCTATGGTTTCAAACCGTCGGCGGACACAAGGGAGATGATGAAGAAGACGATGCTCCAATAGCATCTCCTGGTCAGCATCACAACAGACCCGGCCACACGATGGATGACATGTTCAAAGAGATCGACGACGAATTCAGACACATGATTGCTGGCGATGGAAAGGGCAAGACAGAAGTGATAGAGATTATCGGTCGAGAGAAGGGCAAGCAATTGGGCAAGGTTGCAAGGGAAACGCTATCGAGGCAGTCAACGCAGCAAGATGCCATCACTGAGATTGACCTTGTCGTAAGTGCTAGCCCCGTACTGACTTCTGAGCGGTGCTGACGGCAGTCGTCAACTCTCGTAGTATGGCCAAAACGAGGCCTTTCCCGGCTTTACGATTGTTGGGCAAATCAGCCCGGCAAAGCCTTCCATGTCGATGGTCAGCGTCAGCTTGGCTGTCAGGCGTCGACCCGAGCCTGATCCGACCAGCCCGATCGCGCCGACTTTCCATCAAGATGGAAAGTTCAAGGTGCGTTCGGCATATCGTGTCTCCAAGGATATGCGCGCGTCATCTGACCTCTGCGCAATCATTTTCAAGATCATGCAAATCGCAGATTTGCACTTTTCCACCTCGCCTGAACCATGCCGTGACACTCTTATCACGCCCTGCAACGCCAAGACAATGACGGACTTGATGGGACAATGGCTGGACGAAGAAAAGCCAGACCTTGTCGTCTTCAGCGGCGATCAGCTCAATGGACAGGGGACGTCTTGGGATGAGCGAAGCGTATTGGCTACTTATCTTAAGCCTGTCATTGATAGAAAGATCTTGTGGACCAGCATCATGGGCAACCATGATTCTCAAGTGAGTAGAGATGAGAGCGCCGCGTATTCGTTCTGAGCAAGCTTCTGACATCCACGTGGTCTCCCCCGCCTCCGTGCTTGACCAGACCGGCGTGCTGACGCGTAGGGAGCTGCAACTCCTCTTGAGTCACATGCCATACTCACTCGCACGCGCTGGCCCGGCCAATCTCCACAATGGCACAGGGGCCGGCAACTACTACATCCACCTCCGGGCGCCTACGCCGGGTAAGTCATGGTGACACAAATGCCCCTCATCTGAATGAAGGTCGCTGACTCTGACGGAACCGCGTGGCTTCCCAGACGCCACACATTTGTTCTCATTATACTTTCTCGACAGCGGTGTCAAGGCGCCCGTGGCGGGAATGGGAAGCCTGTTGCCTTGGTCTTTCTTCGGCATCAGTGCGTCGAAAGGCTATGACTGGGTGCGAAAGGATCAGATCCAGTGGCTGCTGGATCAGAGCCGAAAGGTCGTCAAGCATATTGTTCCCTACAAGCCCGACGGTGGCAAAGGTGAGCTCGCGGGGCTTTCATAGTGCGACTGGAACTTCGATCGCTCATGCTCGCCACGTCCATTGCCTCAGATCTAGGTCGTATCTGGGCCCAGCGGAGACAAGATCAAGACTACTCCAGACTTGTCACAACCAGGCGCAGCGACATCAGACGAGACGACAAGACCTGGGACGCGCACGCTGCCCAGGGAAGCGGTGGCAGAAAACCTCCTGCGTTGCTTTGGGTTCACATCCCTTTGCCGGAATTGTGAGCCAGAGTGGCACGCAAGCGTTACGTATTCGATTACTTTCTCATGTCCGTGCCTTATCTGCAGCTTCTCCCCTGTCGACAAGAATGAGCTGGGTCAAGATATGATCATTGGGCCGCCTCAGGGCGAGACATCCGGTATCAAAGGTGAGTCAAGGACACCTCTAACACTGGCCTGGATCCGGTTGCTGACGCTGTTTCGCTGTTCACAGGCGCACAAAAGGAGGGCGGCCTGTATGATGCCTTGCAAGGGCAAGGTGCCGAAAATGACGTGGTCGGCGTGCTTTCGGGTCACATGTAAGTCTTGACCAAAAGCTCTTGCCATCGCGAGAGAAAGTGCTCAGACTGATCTGCGGCTCCAACCTCATTCAGGCACGAGAATGCAGACTGTCGGCGTATCAAGGGGATCTGGATGTGCTTCAACGGCGGAAGCTCTTTGTTGGGATACGGCAGCACCAAGATGGAGCGACGTGTTAGGATCATCGAGCTGGAACAGTGGGGCGAAAAGATCAACACTTGGCACAGGTACGAACGCACCAGGGGCAGGCTTGATGAAGCGACACTTTGGGAAATGTTTCCGGCCAAGGGCAAGCATTGATCGATTGATGCCTGTAAAGCCTTGAGGCTTATATTTATGCTATCGCTGCGTTACGTCATTGTCGCGACCGTCACGCTGCATGATCCTCGTTACATGTCTCTACTTTTTGCCTTTGTCACCTTAATTTCTTGCTGCGTTCGCTATACTCCTATTTGCATACATGTCGCTCGCGATCAGCAACCCGCATAGCAGAGTGACTTGGCAGACTGATCGAGCGTGAGATTTGAGGACAGTCGCAAGTCTCAGGCCCAAACCCAAACCACCAATGCCGATCGCTGCACGGATTGCTGCCATGGTGCTGCACCGAGACTCTGTGCAGCATGGTCCGTGCGCCTCGCGCGAGCATGCGAGCAGCAGCACGGCGCTGCTCTCTTCGTGATGAGCAGCAGCTCGTGCCGCGATCGCAGACGCGCTCACGACTCGGCGGCGCTATGCATACAATACCACGCAGCAGCAGCAGATGCCCTGCCACGACTGACCTGCCCTGCCCTGCGTCTCAAGTTGCACAGCCGCCGCGTGCATCATTCAATTGTGATTACGACTCACGAGTAACATTCGTGATTTTGATTTGAGCTGGTCGCGCGTTGCTGTCAAAAAGGTGTTATAGACTCTTGATGAGGTGTTGCATTTTCATCATCATCGTCAATCCTGTCTGCGAGCAAGGGCCTCTCATCTCATGCAAATCATCCCTCACTTTTGGGTGTACGCGCTCTATCTCCCATCATCTCGCGCACTGACGACGCCCGACTTTGCTGTCTGACTGCCGCTTTGTGCAGGCGCTTCGAAGCCCCCTTTTCATCCCTCGCAACAGCCCAGGTGCTTCAAGATGTCGAGCGACTCGCCCGCGGCTTCACGCGCAGGCGCGCCCTCGACGCCCCTCTCGCCCATCTCTCCATCGAGCGCTAGACGCTTATCCAATCCGTTTACAAAGAATCAGGACGAGGCTGAGGAGCGCAGAACTGCAGCTCGTGCTGCTGACCTGCGAGTCGAGGAGGAGGACGAAGATGATGATGAAGGAGGCATATCTAGTCATGGTCACGATGGACTAGGAGCCAAAGCTGTCAGTTTGATGCGCAAAATGAGACAAGCGAGCATCGCATCTGTAGGATCCAAGAGGTCCAGTACGCACGGTGCCATCGAAGAGGAATCGGACGAAGAGCTCGAGTTGCCTCCTCGACGCAATCCCGATGGGAGCAACTATCGCTCGCCAGGTGTCAGCACGCCCGCCTCGCCAAACAACCAGGGGCTCACATTTCGTCCCGAGGTGGAGCCTGCAGGAGGTAACAAGCACCTTCCTCATGCGGGACCTCCAGTGGATGACTTGCGTGGCATGCCAGACCTCCGCAAGACCGTCTCTACAAGCGAAGCACCGTTTGCGCGAGGCACGACTAGAACGGGAGGCGTGAATCGCACTTATAGCATGGTAAGTTGGGTGAGCTGCATGTCCGAAGTCTAGCCCTGCCTCTCGAAGCTGAAGTTGCGCGACGCTCGCCTGCTCGAACAGGCTCAGCAAAAGCGAAGGCCCGTGATGATGAACGATGACAGAGTCATCAGACAGCGTCGGCTTAGCCATGGTAGGTGGATGGTGCTGGAGTCTACGGCTCACCGATCGGCCCTGACTCGACTGCATAATATCTCCTTTGCGCTCAGATGCCGTAAGCCAGGAAGGCCAGAGGCGCTTCATTGTGGATGTCGAGGAAACGATGCGTCTCGTGCTTGAACAAGAAGATACGGATGGCAATTTCCAAGTAAGTAACGAGGGCGCGATCGGTGCTGGCGCATCAGCAGTCGCTGATGCGGACCGGCGATGCTGCAGATCAGCATAACAGACAGTGGCCCGAAGGTGCTCACGCTCGGCACAGCTACGTCAAACGGCTACAAGGGTGTTGACATTCGTGGAGTAAGTGTCGCTTCCGACCGAGCACAGTACACGCACGATGCACTGCTGACTATATCAGCTTCCTTAGACCTACATGCTGTCCAACCTGCTGCAGGAGCTGGCCCTGGCGCGAGAGCATGGCAGGAAACGCATCGTGCTGGACGAGTCGCGCCTGACCGAGAATGCAGTGGATCGTCTGAGCCGCATGATCAGCCAAACCTTTTGGCACAATCTGACTCGACGCATCGATGGAGATGGACTGGAACGTATCCTCTCGGACCCCAAAAACCGTAGCGCAAGCCGCAACCCTCGCATCTACGTGCCAGCTGCGGAGACGGAGATGATAGATTACTATCGCACCCTGGCACGGGAGCGGCCCAATCTCGGACTCGAAGTGCAAGTGCTGCCGAAGAACATCACTTCGGAGTACACGCGCAGCCTGAATGAGAGCCCCGGCTTGCTGGCACTGGCCATGCGCAAGGAAACGAATGAGCGGGGAAAAGAGGAGCTGCGAGGTATACCCTTCATTGTGCCAGGCGCTCGTTTTAATGAGCTGTACAATTGGGATTCGGTACGTTTCGCGTGTGGCCATACGAAAGCGCTGAGCCATTAGCTAATCCCAGCCCATCTCGCAGTATTTCATCTCGCTCGGCCTGGTCGTCGATGGTTGGGTCGACATGACACGAGGCATCATTGAGCACTTCATGTTCAACATTCGTCACTACGGCAAGGTGCTCAACGGGAATAGGAGCTACTACTTGATGCGGTCTCAGCCGCCCTTCCTTACCGACATGGCTCTGCAGGTCTACAGCAGACTCAATCCCGATGACGATGCGGAAAACAAGGCGTGGCTCAAGAGGGCGATGCAGTCGGCCATCAAGGAGTACCACACCGTTTGGATGAAGGAACCTCGCTATGACCCCGTTACCGGCTTGAGTCGATACCGACCAGAAGGTCTTGGTGTGCCGCCCGAGACGGAAGCTAGTCATTTTACCCATGTGCTGCGTCCATACGCAGAAAAGTACGGCTGTAGTGTGAACGAGTGAGTTGCAAAAGATGTCATCCAAATTGCTGAAGGGCACTAACGGCAAAATGCTTTCATCAGATTCACCCACAAGTACAATCACGGAGAAGTACACGAGCCAGCGCTTGATGAGTACTTCATGCACGACCGCGGAGTTCGCGAAAGCGGTCACGATACATCTTACCGCTTCGAGAAGCGTTGCGCCAGTCTTGCGACCATTGACCTGAATTCTCTATTGTACAAGGTGAGTTCGCCGACCCAAGGCCATGCTAACTTAAGGTGACGTTGATCTCTATTGCAGTACGAGGTGGACATTGCCACTGCTATTCGCGAGGTCTTTGACGACAAGCTCCAGCTCGAGGATGACTTTACGCTCTGGGCACCGCTCCCACCCAATTACGCCGACAAGCAGCCCGACGAGCCGTCGCACAGCCATTCGGCGCCCCAGACCAGCGCAGAGTGGTTTGCACGCGCTGCATACAGAAAGCAGCAGGTGGACAAGTACTTGTGGAACGAGGGAAAGAGTTTATACTTTGACTACGACACCAGCACGCAGAGACAAGCCTTCTATGAAAGTGTGACGAGTTTCTGGGCCATGTGGGCAGGTATGGCCAGCGAGGACCAAGCAGCCAAGATGATGAAGAATTCATTGCGCAAATTTGAAGAAGTAGGAGGATTGGTCCCTGGCACGGAAGACTCTCGAGGACCCATCTCGCTGGACAGGCCCAACCGTCAATGGGACTATCCCTTCGCCTGGCCACCCCACCAAATGCTAGCATGGATCGGTCTCGAGCGCTACAATTACGTCGAGGACAGTCGCCGATTGGCGTACCGCTGGCTCTACCTGCTCACCGTCTCCTTTGTCGATTTCAAGATGATTCCGGAGAAGTTTGACGCCGTCAACCTCTCCCACCTTGTTGAAGCCGAATATGGCAATCAGGGAACCCAGTGGGAGTACTGGCCAAAAGAGGGCTTTGGCTGGACCAATGCTTCGTACCAAGTTGGCTTGACATTCCTGACCAAGGCTCAACGCCGCGCCCTCTCGGTCTGCACGCACCCTCGTGAGCTCTTCCCTTAAGCGCGATCGGCTTTTTCTGGAAGCTCTGGCGATCAGCGAGCAAGTTTCTCTTCGACACTGACTGTGTCCCATACAGCACGAGATGTCATGCGACTATGGAATGCCATGCATAGTACCAGCCTCACGACTTATCCTGCTTGCTGCCCTTGAACCGCTTAGCAGCGACTTCCCTCGCCTTGTTGCCAAGAAATTTAGCAGATCCACCGCCTCCCAAGTAGCCCACGCCGCTCCACACCGTGGTGATGGCGACGAGCGCCATGTAAATGTTCCATGGCGTTTGCGAGGCTTCTTGAAACCACTCGGGAGTGATCGGCAAGAGCGTCGCCCCGCCCACCAGTAATAGCTGAAGAAAGGTATTGTACTTTGAAAGTTGCGTCGGTGTGACTGTGGCGGAGGGCAAGCGAGGATTGAAGTAGCGCGAAAAAGTCTTTGGTTCTGGAAGCGTTCTGTACCGGACAAAGAAAGCGCTGATGACCAGCGCAATGTCTCGACCCAGAATGAGTGCGACGAGTGAAGCTGCAAGGCGAGAGCGAGGCCTGCGCGTCAGTGGAACTGCCGCAGCTACGTCGTTGGCGATGAGACATACTCACCTGGTAATAGACCGCGGTACGCTAGAGCCAACACCATGACGGTCATGAGCGCCTTGTCCGCAGCAGGATCAGCAATGCTTCCAAAGACTGTATAGCTTCCTCTTGCCCTTGCTATCCAGCCGTCCAGCACGTCCGTCAGGCCAGATACGAAGAGCAGCACGCATGCATGCTCCATGTGACCTTGAACGACGAGATAACCCAGCAAGGGAGTGGAAGCTAGTCGCAAGATCGTGAGAACGTTTGGAAGTGTTAGAATATCCTCGGAGAGTGCTGGAGCGGGAGAGCTTGACGCCGGAGTCGAGGTCGAGTCCATCCTGCTTCTGCTCTGTACCGTGGAGGCCGCATCGTGAGTTCCTGCAGCGCTTCGAGAAGCCGTCCCTTGTGGCCGTGCATCGACAGTCGACGTGTCCCCACTCCCTGGCTGTCTGCCTGCTCGAGCGCCAGAGCTTGCTGAGTCGTCCTTTTGAGCGCATTGAGATGTGCTGCGATGCAGCGAGATGTTGCGAGAGGTATGGAATCGATGAGCATTGTTGTGAAGACTACTCTGTGCCGAGCGGAGCACTTGCTGCCTGATGGACTCGGCCGGTTGCTGACCTGAGCACCGCACCGATCGCGAGGCGAGTGCAAGGCATCTCTGTCCAGGACCATTCGGTGTGGATGAGTGGTGCGCACTCCGCGAGATTGCACTTGAGGCTGCTGGTAGGAGAATGCCTCGTATCGCTGTCATGGTTGATCCGGCCGCTCGTCCTAGGCAGCTCGGTGGACCCAAACATGTCATCATCCGCAGACCTGCTGGTGCGCCGATCATGGTCGCACTTGATCGTCCAGTGTCACGAATGGTATCAGTCAGTGTGAAAGCAAGATGCCGACGCGTTCAGATGGCAAGCTTGGCTATGGGATAAACAGGAGTGGCGAAGAACGTGCAATGGACGGAGACCCTGAACTTTCCACACACTCAATGATGAAACGCGGCTTCGTAAGGAGACGTGGAAAGAAAGTTGTGCTGAGTGCGAAAAGTGGAGACCGGCTTCAGATTCAAGGCCAAATGTTTTGGCGCTTAATTGTTGTCACTTGAACAGGTATTAAAATGAGGAATTCCTTTTGCCTCGAAGAAACCTGTGGGGTTCCTTAATCTTGCCTTGGAACTGAGATTTTTGATTGAGATCCTTGATTTTGTTTTCATCCCGTGGTAAAGCGAAGCAAACGGGACAGCATGAATCATGAATTGAACCGCGTGGGTCATCTTGAACCTATATTTCAAATCACGGCCCGCGCGTGCAACAGATGCAGCGTGCAGACGCGTCACGCGCATCCCTCTGACTCGCGCGGCGGGGGTGAACGTTTGCTTGAGTCACGATGAGTGCACGGAGCCTGCGGGCACATGGGCCCGGGTGTCCCTTGCAGCTGAAAACAGCAAGGGTGGCTCATCCATCAACCGTGAGCGGCCATCCCATAACGGCCTGCAGAGCAGCAGCAACGCCAGCATGCAGCGATGTTCATGGTTCCGAGCAGCGTTCGTTGCAATTACGGGTGAACAGAGTCGTCTTGTGTGAGGGACAGAGGCGGTCGGGCGCTTGCGTGAATGAGGTCTCCTATGGGCATTCTCAAGGGGCAAAGGTGGAGATATGTGATGCGCTTCGACCGACGCGTGTTTCGTGCGGCATGCTCAGCAGCTTTGTGATGCTCCATGATCAAGCTGGTAGAGAGAGCCAACCGCGCCGCGTGCGCGCCCTGACCTTTTGCCCCTCACCTCTCCCGACACCTCGAAGGCTTCCACTTCGCCGCCTCGTCTGGTTCGGCCTTGCAGCTCTCAGATTCTCCTTTCTTTGCGAGTCTTGCAGAGCACGCTCAGACTACCCTTCCTTGGAGCCGTGCACAGACCCAGCCTCGCGTGCAATTACACGGGCACCGCGTCATCCAGTCATTGCATCAGCATCATGTCGAACTACGTGCAATTGGAGAAGCTGGGAGAGGGCACATATGCTACAGTGTTCAAAGGAAGGTCACGCACGACGGGTGAGACCGTAGCTCTGAAGGAGATTCACCTGGACGCGGAAGAAGGCACGCCCTCTACAGCAATTCGCGAAATCTCTCTGATGAAGGAGCTGCGTCACACCAACATCGTCAGGTTGCACGACGTGATCCATACAGAGAGCAAATTGATGCTCGTCTTCGAATTTATGGAGCAGGATCTCAAAAAGTATATGGACATTCATGGAGAGAGGGGAGCGTTGGATCCTACAACTGTAAGGAGTTTCATGTTCCAATTGCTCAAGGGCACCGCATTCTGCCACGAAAATAGGGTGCTCCACCGAGACCTCAAGCCTCAGAACTTGCTCATCAACAAGCGCGTGAGTATCTGGCCATGACTGGTGGAGAAAGCCACACAGCTCAAATCACACCCAACGTAACCTCAGGGCGAGCTCAAGTTGGCAGATTTCGGCCTCGCCAGAGCATTCGGTATTCCGGTCAACACGTTCAGCAACGAGGTGGTTACGCTATGGTACAGGGCTCCAGACGTTCTGTTGGGTTCGCGAACGTACAGCACATCCATCGATGTATGGAGCGCGGGATGCATCATGGCGGAAATGATCTCTGGAGTGCCGCTGTTTAGAGGTAGAGACAACAGCGACCAGCTGAATCAAATTTTGAGAATCTTGGGCACGCCGGACGAGATCACCATGAAGAGACTGCAAAACGATTCGGTAAGTAAAGGGCGTGAAGGTCAGCTCGTGTGACCGGACGCTGACGCGCAAAGATCACATGCGCATACATAGCCCGAAATCCAGGTGCGCCCCCTCCCACGCACTCCTCGAGTGCCTTTCCAGCAGCTCTTTCCTAAAGCGCATCCCCTCGGTAAGTATCTCGCGTGTCGCGAAGAAGCGATGTCTAGCTCTGATGCTGGTATGCACCACGCCCACGGCAGCCATTGACCTGCTGGACAAGCTTCTCAAATTCGACCCAACGCAACGCATCTCTGCCGACGAAGCTCTGAGGCACTCTTACTTCACTACGAGCTTGGCAGTGCAGGGACAGGGTGGCGCTCCTCAACAAGCTCAACAAAATTACCTTCAGCAGGGTCAACCGGGACAAATGCAGCCTCAAAATGGACAATGGACGCAGGTGAGTTACAGTTGTAAGGTGATTGCCTTCAGGAGTGTCGTTGACCTTCCAATCCTTACCTTCTGCCCACGAGGGCGCACAACGACAGGTCCAACAACCACAACAGCAAGTCTACATGCAATGAGCGGCTCGTCCGCTGCCAAGTTTTGGCTACTCAACTTTTCCCGTCACCTGTATCGACACGAACTTCATCTTCACGGTCCCGCTCGTCGACAACGCTCATGATGGCATTTCTCAATCCATGACTCGTATTGCGGACATGTGCATAGTCGGAGGGCAGAGATGAGATCGAGATCGTTGTTGCTGTCATTGGATTCTCGTCCCGGATGGAATGTGTCTGTGAGGTACTAGTACACTAGAGCCGGGCAAGTACATGCGTCAAGAGAGTAGCCCGTCAAGCTGGTTAACGATGAGTCGGTCTTGTGCAGCGGACATGGCAGTGGCTGCGCCAGATGGAATACGTGGTAGATTCAGAGCTGAATCACGAGGTTCTCGACCATCGCTATCTGTTGGCCTTTCGCGCGCCCGATCTTGAAGACGCTTCAAACGAGGCAAGGCACTTTGGAGCTCTGCTGTCTGCGCGTCCAAGGCTCGCGTGAGCGCCACAGTCTCAACTGCCTCTGGCAACAGCAAAGATTCGAGCGTTGCCTGGGTGTGTGTGTGCAATCTATGAGCGGATCAAACCCCGTAGCTTGCCGAGCGCATTGCTACTCACCACATCTCCATGCCTCTCTGCTCCCAGCGTTTGCTCTACATCTAGAGCATCTCCACTAGCAGCAGCCAGATCAGTGATATCGTCGTACCTGCTCATCTCGTTACGCCACGCCTGCAACGAGCCACCTCCTGCAGGAGTCGTAGATACGACGCCCTGAGGCAATGGGGCTGTGGGCGGTACCAGAGTCTTTTGAAGTGCTTCTTCGGTGCGGCTTAGCGCGCGAGTCAGGGCCTGCGTCACTGCATCACGTTGTCCTATTGGTAGAGAAGCGAGGATGGGTCTGCCAAACGAGAGCGTTGGGTGAGACAAGTCGCCGCGCGAGGCTCGGAGCTACTGATTCCACCTCACCTGGCCACTCTCCAGATAGCACCAGCTTCACTCGTGACGGCGTCCCTTTCGTCATTCCCAACCCTCCTCCACCTCCTTAACCGAACCTTTTCGCTAGGCAAGCGCCTGGCTGTGCCGGCCTCCCTCGCTCTGCCATCTTCCACCTCTGATCCATTCTCCTCCTCCTCGCTGCTTTCCTCATCTTCCTCATCTTCTTCCTCCTCATCGTCATCTTCCGCTTCCTCTTCGGAACCAGAGTCAGACCCTCTACCGGGATCTTCAGCATCGCTACCCGAATCCTCTTCCGCGTCCCCGTCCGAATCTTCCTCTTGTGTGCCACCTCCACTATCGTCCGCTTCATCAAGCACTGCAGAAGCCAAATTCTGCCGACGACGCTTCGTGGCGGCGGTCGGCGAAAAGCTCCTCACACTGGCCTCTGCGGCGCTCCTGCGTACGGGTGGTCGGCCACCGCCTCGACCTCGGCCGCTGCTTCCAGTGCTACTACCAACCCTCCCTCTACCTCGACCTCTGCCTCCTCGAGCGCTGACGGCTGACACGCTCGCATCACCTCCATCTGCCGATACTTTTGGTCGATTCTTGCTTCCCGGAGGTCTACCACGCTTGACACCGATGCTGCCTCCGGCAGCGCCGTTCGATGTACGCTTAGGTGGCATCACAGGTCCGCTTTAAGGTGATGGACGCGTGAATGTGAGAGCGGCTGTGGAGAGAGAGAGAGAGAGATGACTGATAGATCTCGATTGACTTTCGACTAAATGTGATGGATGCTTGGTGCAAGATTTGGATGATGCCACCAGTGAACTTCGTCCGTGCATCATGTGAATGCTGCTGCTGGGACGGGGATGTGGTTGATCGAGTGAGTGTTGGACGCGTCGCGTTGCGGAGTCGTGAGTGTTGCTGCACGTCCCCGCAGATGCAACATGTGCTATTCGCAATTCACGATTGCGGCCGCATGTGCGCCGCGCGCGGCCATGCCTGCAAGCAGCAGGTACTGATCGTGACTGGAGTGACTTCGCCGCCCAGTCGCAGGTTGGAGAGATCCATCGCTGACGTTGCCGTCCTAAGATATCGTTTGATTTCCATGCACCCATCACCTCTCCTCCTCTCCTCTCGCGACGAACCCGCATTTGAGGGCACAGGCGAGCAGCGGTCTTGAGCCATGTTGGAATCTACTGTGGCCGAGTTGACGGCGCATTGGCCAGGACATGGAGCGGTGATCCGCACCTTGCTGGACTTCTTCGGCGATGTGAGTAAAGGCGAGTCTCGCGGCACACGCATTCACGCTGACTGCGCTGAGGCGCCGATCCAGCCCGACAGCCCTGTACCGCCAGCCATACACCTTCACGCCAGCAGTGCAGCACGAGCCGACGCTCTCATCGCCTCGCTCTTCGAGCGCACATCCGTCACTTCGTGCAAGATCGACCCGCTTCAAGTGTGCAGCGTCTCTTCGGTCTTTGAAAGACTCGTCGCGGACCTGGGAGGTGCGAGCTCATCCAGACCCAAGGCACACTTCGACAACCTCGACTTGGCTTTGAATGGGCTTGCACGCGCTCTGACGCACGAACAGGAGCGCAAGACAGTCATAGTCGTGAAAGGGGCGGAAAGGATGAGGGACGTGTGGGATGAAGCGCTCAGCGACGCATTTTGGAGGCTCGCAGAATTGGTGAGAAGGATTCGATAAGGCGGCTTCCGACTAGAATTGGCTACTGAGGCTGCTCAAGTATCACTTGCCTGCCGTCAGCTGGGGCTTCAAGGCAGGCTTTGCGTGGTGACCATCTCCACCTTATCCATACGACACTTTCGAACAGTCAAGGGCAACGCGCCAAGCCTGGGCTCAGGCCAGCCACTTCAACTGCGCATGTCTGCTCTTCACAAGCCAGGTGCGTGGCACTGCGATCGATCCTGTCTCGTTGTAGTCGCTGATCCCATGCTTGGTCGGAATGGCGTATGCAGACGCGCTTCAGCTACTTCGCAAAGATGCCGATCAACTGGTGCACGGCATCAGCAGTACGCCTGCCCATTTGTCAGGTCTTCGTGCACTCCACGAAGTCTATATTGGCCTTGCGTACGACACGCTGTCTGCCGATGTCGTAGATGAAGAAGAGATGCGGATGCTCGTAGCTGCAATCTGGCACCCTTTCGCGGTGCCCGTCCAGACAGGCGAAGGTGAGGCGGAGCTGCAAGTCGAATCCTCGCCGCAGATCTCGCTCACACAAACATCTTTCAATAGTGACCTCCACTGCTTTGCCAGCTTTACTCGCACGATCTACGCCGCTCTTCAGAGACGCTTTGCTGCGCGTGCTACCCCGCCTAGTATGGCCACAGGCATGGGTTCGATGGGCCGTCGCCCAAGCGAGAGAGCGGTCGGAAGCCGCTGTCGCAGGAAATGAACGCAGCGCCGCTCGTACGACCACACTGCGAGGCTCACAGGCGAAAACATCCTCTGGCACCTCGATGGAGTCCGCGTCCCTTGCGCGCTTAGAGACGTACATTGTCATCGCTGCTTTTCTAGCCTCTTTCAATCCTGCTCGACTGGACGCGAGGTACTTTTTGAGGGACGAGCATGCCCTATTGCCCGCTGCAGAAAGGGCCGAGGCGCAAGTCAAGCTTCGAAGGAAAAAAGGCGGAGCGTTTCGCAGGAAACCAAAGAAGAAGGCTACCGCTGATGAGGGACGGAAAGAGACCTTGGTGAGTCGCGTTCGAGGGGAACGACAAGCTCAGAGACTCATGACAATCTCTCGCAACGTGGATGCTGCAGAATTCTCAAGCTCTTTTGGGCCCCAAACCATTTCCTATCGAGCGCCTTTTGGCCATCTTGCAAGCACTGCTCATCGAATCGAAGGAAGACACTGCTCTGTTGCAAGACAGCATTGGCGGTCCCTCGGCGGCGCAGCAAGCAGAGGTGCTCAGTCGGAGCTCCGACGTGTTCAAGCAGGTGAGTGGAACGGCGCAGCTTTCCGCGTTCGGCGCACGAGCTCATGATTCGCCGCATGCTTAGATCAATCGCCTAGTTACTCAAAGATTCTTGACACGTCTCAGCAGCTCCAGCGCTGTTCTGGCCCCCAACGTCCAGCTCAGATGCAACGTCACGCACGAACACGTCTCGCGCCTCTGCAAAGCCGTCAGCTTCGATTTGCAGGAGTGGCTTTGGGATTGGGCAGGCGGTGCTGGAGAAGCTTGACGAGTCGGAAGAGGAGGATATGCGTGCTGCTCCTTATGGATGTCATCGTAAATCATGCTTGTGCCTTCCAGGCGACGACGCTGCGGTGGCTCATCGAGCGAAATCCACATACCAGCATACTTGTAGTGAATCGCAGTGTGGCACACCAAAGGTGATTTGGTGCGATGGCGAGGTGATGTCTGCCTTCTCTCTAGCTGGACTCCAGCCCCACTCGATCGTGGAGCGCAAGCTGACGACGTGATCCGGGACATAGCCGATGCCAGTGAGCCAAGGCCAAAGATGTCAACGGGTGGATTTGCTCAAGCAGCAGCAGGATGACGGAGCTCAACCCTGCAAAGTCCCAAGTCGTGAATTAGTGATGGATTTGAAACGCGAATGATCACGAATGGTGCTGCGTGTATAGCGAGCGCATGATCGATCGCGGCAAGCAACCGCTGAATGCAGGGTCACGCACGCAGGCTCAAAGCAGATGCGCACGGACGCGAAGCCATCATGCGCAGACAACACCGCGGCAAAGCTCTCGGCGTGCTTGGCAGATGAATCGCTTATTTCATGCAATCGTGAATACCTGCCCCTGAATACGCAGAGCAGGTCTTCGTCGAGTCTTGGCTTCTCACCTCCGTGTACCTTTCACTCACGACTGCAACAACTTGCTCCCATCGCATCAAACCACGCTCACTCGAAGCGCGCACCTTTTCTTCGCAAGTACTCGCGCAACGCATACGAACGCATCACTCCAACAACGCCAGCATACACCCTCACCATGGCCAGCGCCGAAATCCCATCCGAGCTCAAGCAGCGCTTCGAAGCTGCGGGACAAGACCACGTCTTCGCCTTCTGGTCCAAGCTTGATGCAGAGGAGCGAAGCAAGTTTCAAGCGCAGCTCGAAGCTTTGGATGTCAAGCGCGTGAATGCAGTTTACAAGAAGGCTTTGGAAGGGGAAGCGGAAGCTGCGGCGCTGGCTCAACAGCGCCTTTCACTCGCTGCTCCGCCCGCCAGCAGCACTTTCTCAGCTGCAGGATCTGGTTCGGGTGCTTCAGAGGCGAGCAAGTACCGCAAGCGTGGACTCGAGGCTATCGCGGCGCGTCAAGTTGGCGTTCTTCTGCTGGCTGGCGGTCAAGGTACGAGACTTGGAAGCTCGGCACCAAAGGGATGCTACAACATCGGCTTGCCATCAGGCAAAAGCCTCTTTCAGCTTCAAGCAGAGAGGATCCGAAAGCTGGAAGAGCTCGCTGGGAAGGAGGCGAGGATTCCGTGGTTCATCATGACCAGCGGTCCGACGCGCCAGCCTACCATCGACTTTTTCCAGCAGAACGAGTACTTTGGCTTAAAGGCAGAAGACGTCATCTTCTTCGAACAGGGTGAGTGCTGTAGAACAACATGTGGTGGTGGTCGTGCTCCCCGTGACCTAGCCCGCTGACTGCTCTGCCTGATCTCTGCGCCGACTAGGTACACTGCCATGCCTGACGATGGAAGGGAAGGTCATGCTGGCTAGTCCTTCAGAGATTGCAACAGCACCCGACGGTAATGGTGGCATCTACACTGCACTTCGAGCTCCACTGAAAGGCGCTGGTGGGGCTGCGGATGGAGAAACAGTGATTAGCACGCTTCAATCGCGGGGCGTGAAGTACCTGCACGCATTCGGTGTGGATAATTGCCTCGTCAAGGTGGGCGACCCTACCTTTGTGGGTCTGTGCATCGAGCGAGGCGTCTGTGCGGGCGTCAAGACAGTGGTCAAGACGGATCCAGCAGAAAGCGTCGGTGTTGTAGCCCAGCGCAACGGCAAGTGGGGCGTCATCGAGTACAGCGAAATCCCAAAGGAGCTGTCAGAAGCGCGCGATGAGGATGGCCAATTGAGTTTCAGAGCTGCAAACATTGTCAATCACTTTTACACCACCGAATTTTTGGCCAGAGAGGTTCCAGCCTTCGAGTCGGAGATGGCTTTCCACATTGCGCGCAAGAAGATCCCGACGATCGATCTTGCGAGCGGAGAAGCTGTCAAGCCGAGCAAGCCAAACGGGATGAAGTTGGAATTGTTCATCTTTGACGTTTTTCCCTTCATCAAGGATCTCGCCGTCCACGAAGTCGCCAGAAGGTCCGAATTTTCGCCGCTGAAGAACGCGCCCAACACTGGCGTGGACGACCCACAGACAAGTCGAAGAGATTTGCTGGCGGAACAGAGGCGATGGTTGGAAAGCAGCGGGGCAAAGATCAATGACGCAGCTGATATCGAGATCAGCCCTCTGGTCAGCTACGAAGGGGAAGGTTTAGAGAGCGTCAATGGCAAAATTTTGGACAAGAGCGCCATCATCGACCACATTTGAGCGGTTGCATGTGGGCAGGGCACGAGGCAACGCTAGACATGCACTTCGCATTACCATTCATCCACCTTTACAATCACGAATCGTATCTTCAACCTTCAGCACCTCGCGATCGAAAGGGCCATGAATCGAATCTGCGTCTTGGTTCGCTCGCGCGGTCTCGCTCTCTGAAACATGTTGTGATGGCGCCCCAGAGGTCATTCCAGACCTGTGATTGAGCATTCCAGCGTCATAGTGTGGTGCGCTCCTGACTGGGCTGTCTGCTAGCCTCAGGATTTCACCCTACAAATGCCGGCGGTACGGGAAAAGAGAAGAAAGACGTGATTTACATTTGTTCTTGTAATAATAGTGATATGAGCATGTGACCGAGTCAAATTTGTATTGTGTTCTTCGAAAACCCTGCGTCGAGAAGATCGATTGAGCGCATGCATGGCGTCAGCACGCACGCGCGCTTCATCATCATCACGTACCCTGCTGGATCCGATTCGCGAGCCCAACTCGTGGTTGTGAAGGTCAGCCCGCGCACAAACTCGGAGGGAAAAGTTCCATCACACCACCAGTCCCAGCAGCGGTGCGCTCTCGACTACACAAACTTCGGTGCTTTCATAGTCTCCCTGACCAGCCTCAAGATGCTGTGGCTCGGCACGGCTCGGGGTACTGGCTTGGCTGCGTCCCTCAGCTCGAGCATCTGCTCCTCGAGAAATGCCGGTGCTGTCTCTTGCTCCGGCGTTGCTGCTGCGATCAGCCCAATTTGGAAGTCGCACTCACAATGCGGTCGTCACCCGCGCTCCTCGTACTCCACTGACGCTCCCTGTAGCTCTACACTAGCCACGCGCATAGACCCACGCGATTCGAGTGCGCAAAGACGCGCTTCTAGCAGTCCCCTGTGCTCCCTCAGTTCGAGTAACACCAGCAGACGTGGAGCACCTCGCTCGCCGATAATCGCCGCACTAGGCGTCAGACATCGCTCAGACGCAGCAGCAACTTCTGCCCCACAGAACACATCTGCTTCCCCTCCACCACCCAAAATCCCTTCCACATTCCCAGAGCCGAAGGCGAGCATCGAAGTGCAAGCAAGAGCATCGCAGACGTCTAGCACTGGAGAGGCTCCAAAGCTATCCTTACCTGTTCGAATCTTCAAGCAAGCCAAGGACCGATTGCTAGCAGCTGCTTCTCAATCCGCGGCCAAAGGAGCAGGAACAAGTCAAGGTGCGGATAATACGCCCCCGCCCACCTTTCCCGATATTCGGAGATTATTCTCGCTGGCAGCATCCGAAAAGAGCCGAATTGTCCTCGCATTGGCTCTTCTAGTCATCAGCAGCGCTGTATCGCTATCTGTGCCCTTCGCCATCGGCAAGGTCATCGATTTCTTCACCAATGGCGAATCTTCACTCCTCGGTCTCAGCTTCTCTAGCGTCGCCGCGCTCCTCCTCGTCATCTTTACCGTTGGCGCGATCGCAAAAGCGGGCAGCAACATCATGCTGGAGCTGGCTGGTGTCAGGATCGTGCAGAACATGCGCGAAAAGGCCTACGCTACAGCGCTGCGGCAAGAGGTCGAGTGGGCTGATCGAAGCTCGGGAGACGTGGTGAGCAGGCTCAACGTCGACACTACCATTCTTGGTGAGCAGCGAGCGACTGCCAGACCACTGTTGCACACGCTCACATCACGATCCTGGCAGGCGATGCGATCACGTCTGACATCGGAGACGGCTTGCGAGCCGGGGTGACGGTCATCTTTGCAGGCACGGCCATGTTCTGGATCTCTACCAAGCTCACCCTGCTCATGTTGGCTGTCGTACCGCCAGCTGCGATCGGAGCAGTCTTTTACGGCCGCTACCTGCGAGACTTGACGAACAAGACGCAGGAAGCTGTAGGAGGCATGACCAAGGTGGCCGAAGAGAGATTGGTGGGACCCGCTTTCCGAACTGTGACTGCATTTGGCACGCAAGTCGAGGAGACCCAGCGCTTTGCGAAGAAAGTGCGCGAAATTGTCGCGCTCGAGACCAAGGAAGCCTACGCCTCGGGCATCTTCTATGGAGGCACGGGTCTCGTTGGAAATTGCGCCATCCTCACGCTCCTCACAGTGGGCGGTTCTCTCGTGGCGAGGGGCCAAATCACTGTTGGAGATCTGACCAGCTTGCTGATGTACACTGCCTATTTAGGAGGTGGTCTCGCCAGCTTGACCCACTTTTTCGCGTCTCTTATGCGCGGTGTCGGAGCAGGTGCTAGAGTGTTCCAGCTCGTAGATCGCGTGCCCGAACAGATCAGGCTCGAAGAAGGGGAGAAGACGCTGCCCGCTCGAGGAGCCATCGCCTTTGAGGACGTGCACTTTGCGTACCCTTCAAGACCTCAACAAAGCATCCTCAACGGCGTCTCGCTGACCATTCGACCTGGTGAATCAGTCGCTCTGGTTGGAGGGTCCGGGGTCGGCAAATCGAGCGTGCACGCTCTGCTGCTTAGATACTACGATCCCGACTCGGGAAGCATCACGATCGGAGGCAAGGATATCCGAGACGTCGATCCGCAAAGTCTGCGTTCCCTGATCGGCACTGTATCGCAAGAGCCAACCATCTTTGAAGGCACTATTGCCGAAAACATCTCGTACGGTACTCCAAATACCAGCAGAGAACGAATCGAGGAAGCGGCACGTCTGGCGAATTGCACGGACTTTATCGCTTCGCTACCACAAGGCTTGGACACGCACATCGGGCCACGCCAACTCAGCGGAGGACAACGACAACGAATAGCCATTGCGCGCGCACTGATCCGCAAACCTAGCATCCTGCTGATGGACGAAGCGACATCTGCGCTGGATTCCGCTTCCGAGTATCTGGTCAATCGAGCCATCGAGTCCATCATTGCGCAAGGTGAAATCACGGTCTGGATCGTCGCGCATAGGCTAAGCACCATCAAGTCTGCAGGCACGATTCTTGTGCTGGACGGAGGACGCGTCGTCGAGTCCGGTCCTTTCAACCAGCTGGACAGACCAGGTTCTAGGTTCCGTGCGCTCATGGCTGCCCAGCTCCAGAGTGGCAGCACGACTTTGGATGGGCCAGCGTCGTCGCCGTCGCCGTCGGCTAACAATGGGACCGACTCGCATACGGTGCGTGATTGATCCGAGGTGCGTCTCAGGCGCAGACGCCGCCGTCGGGGATTCCAAGCTTACACGCGGTCGACACCCCAGCCGATCGGTTCGCAGATGGGAGCGCGGTCCTTCAGCACTTCGACGCGTCGCGCGAACAGCGATCGCGTTTCTGGCGGGCCAGCCTCTCAAAAGATCATGGTGGATGATTTGTGTATACCCGTGGCACCTACCTGGCGCGTTGCAGACCTCATCGAAGAAGCACAAAAGGCTGGCACGTCCCTCACATTGGAACACCTGCAAAAGCTGCACGAGCTGGCGGCTTTGAGATACCCTTCTTCTCCTGAGGCGCAGCAACGACTAAAGGAAGAATTGCAGACGCTCGTGGACCTCGTCTCTTCTGTGAGGCACGTCGAACTGCCAGAGGACATTGCAAGTCTGGAGTTGCCTGATGGCAAGGTGGGCCTCAAGCATCGCTCGGCGGTAGATATGAGCGCGCCGACCGCTGAGGAAGAGCAAACAGTAGACATTTTGGATAGGCAGGCATTACTTGCCGGTGCGAAGAAGACACATGGAGGTCTATTTGTCGTCGACACTGCTGCCAGGCGAATTTAGCAGTGACGGACAGACCCACACTTCCCTCCCTACATCACCACTTTGACCCGACATAGACGTTTCGCACTCCAACACGCCGGATATGTTCCAATGTAATTCACCCCTCGAAACCTTGACCACGACGTAGACGCGTCGGCATTGGATGTAAGCGCAGCAACATGCCTCATGTCCGCGACGCCGAGACTCTGGGGCCGAGCAGGCCGGAGGGCTGGAAACTGTCGGCCACCTCGTCTGCGGTGTTGAAGCCGCCCACAAGGCGATGATGCGGCAGCAGTCTTTGCGTGGGAGGTTCGTACGACTTGACGCGTGACTTTGCCTGTGGACCTAGATCGAGATCCCGGAGTATGCCCTCATCGAGCAGTGCGTCGTCGCCAACGTCTTCTCCCTCTGCCATGACGCTGATGGAGGCTTGACTGTTCAATTCGTCTTCATCTGCTGTCATGTCTCCCTCATCGTCCAGGATCGAAGCACGGCGATCGCCTGGGGCCTCGGAGAGCAGCTCGACCTCCTCTTCTTCCGATTCTAGCACGTCTTGTCTAGATGCAGTTCGCGCAGCGCCGTTGACGTGAAGCGATGCGCCAGGCCTCGTTCCAGCTCCATCGCTGCTAGACCGCAAATGTCGAAGTGTGGACATCGAGCGTGGATGCGAGCTAGCAGTGCGGCTACGATCCGCGAGTCGCTTGCGGATGTCGCGCAGGTCAAGCGCAAGGTGCTCGTCAAGGCGAACGTTGAAAAGCTCCCAGATGAACTTTCTGACCGGCTGGCGATAGTGATGGCTCTCGAGCAACTCCAGAGCTCGGCAGAAAAGCGATCTGTCTTGGAACATGAATCGGTGCTGGGCTCTCAACTTTGCAAGCGAGCGCGAAGCTTTGTTGGCTTGGACCGAGTTACCCAAATTTGAAATACAGAGCATGATTGCGCTTTCAATGCCACCGTCCGGCTTCTTGAGCTCCAAGTACCTGAGATCAGCACTCGTCTTGACTTGCCAAGGTGGGATCTGGTTTGCAGTGCAGATGATGTCAACATCGGCTGCAAGGGCTGCTAACGGCTCGGCGCCACTCACCGTGACGAAAGCATCAAGGTTGCGTGGCACGCAAAGGCTGATGGGAGTGCCAAATGTGGTGAAGGCACAGTCCCATCCAAAGTCCTGCAACAGCTCGGCTCCCGGAGACGTAGAAGCGATCAGGCCCAGAGTGAAGAAGCAGGTGCTGATTGTCACAAAGACGCACGTCAGAGAAATGCCAGTGGAGCGGGCGAGGACACGCATACTTACCCACGCACCGAGAGCACTAGAGACGTCTCGGCAATGTCGACAATGACTGCGATAATGTCTTCATTCTCCAGAAAGGGGAGTCCGCAAGCTGTAGAACCAATGTTGCCCTTCATGATGCAAGCGAGCACATGATCGAGGTCAGCCTGCTTCGGTCATCTGCAAGACGTGCTCTTTCGAGACTGAGTCACTGCCGCAAGGCTTCCGCTACTCACGACCGCCCACAAAATGCTCTTCAGCTTGGCGATGATCTCCAGATCTTCAAATTCGCTGCCATGCAAGCGGATGAATCGCGCAAACTCTGCAAAGTGACCCTTGCGGGAAAGAACTTCGCAGCCTTCGTGCGTTTTGGCAAGCTCGCCGTAGAAGTGCGTTGGGACTGTGCCGTCAAACTCTTCGTGGAGCTTCGGATCGTCATCTGCCTGGTGAATGCTGAAAGCGCGCGCGAGTAAGACTTCGAGCTGCACGGCGTATCTCTGATTGCGGTGATGGAACCAGTCGTCCATTTCCCTCTCAATGTATCCTCCCTGCAGTAGATATCGCAATCCAACAGAAGTCGACATGAACATGAGCAGCAACGCGTGGCTCGAGTCACCCAAGTGCTCCAGTACGGGGCTCATAGAGACGACGATGTTGAGCATCGCTGTAGATTTGCAAATGTCTTTGAGGATGAGAGCAGCTTCTTCTCGCACATCAAGAGAAGGGTCGTAGAGTTGAGTGAGGAGCAGGCGTATCGCCCAATGTGTCGGTAGAACACTCTTCTTGATCAGCGAGGCCAAATGTTGGGTGGCAAACAGGCGCATTGGCTCGTAGGTCGACGTCAAGACCTTTGAGAACAGTATCCGAGCGTGTCCTTCGATGGAGTAGTCGAATTTTTCTAACATCAAGCGCATAAGATCGTCGCGGCTTCTGAGCTCGCTGAGAGCGTAGAGCGCGGTAAAGAGGTGATTCTGTTCCAGAATGCGAAGGCCTTCAGGCGTCTTTGTCAGCACGCCGAGCATCTCAAAGTAGCCGCCGGTGAGTGTTTCGACGATTCGGATGCGCGAGAAAATCGCTTCGCCTGCGCCGATCACCTGGCCAGCAGGTGCAAGAGGGAGCAGCTGTTCTAGACATTCTCGAACCTCTCGCAAGAATCGCGTCTCTGCCAGAAATCTGAGCCCATCAGGACACGACGATAAGGTCGTCAAGAGTGCGCAACCCAGTCTGATCCAGCGCAGATTGGCAGTCGTCTTTGGGATGGTCGCAAATCGAAGCGAAAAGGGCTGGTAAAAGGCTATGATGCGTCGAGCGAATTTCATGCTCCTTGTCGCCTCTTCGAGCCTCTTGGCATTCATGAGGGGCCCCTCGAAAAGATCCATGAGCTTGTCAAAGCTCCAGCGTGTGTGGTCGCGCGTGTTGAGCACCTGCGTATCCACAATTCTATTTCGAAATTCGGCATCGTCGAGAATGACAATCTGTCTCGGCTTTGAATTATCTCCACCTCTTCGGCGCGCATCTTCCACAGAATCTGCGCGGTTGCGAGGTCGGATGCTGCTAGGCACCCCGTGCGCAGATGTGCTGTCCCTGGAATTGCGCGTACGAGCTCGTGATCTGGCGTGCGACTCAATGGCAGACAGCGCGCCGATAGCGCGCTGCCGATCTTGCTCGCTTCCAAAGCGTGAGACCATGGTGAAGAGGTGAGGGAAAGCATGGACGGCGGCGCCATAGCTGCGAGGCAGTACGCGGTCTGCGGTCTGCACAAGCTGACCCATGAGCATCGAAGCGCTTCTTGTGAGCTCCGGAGCCGTCTCTAGCACGTGCACGACGGCGTCAAGCAAACCTGCATCGATCATGACGACGAGAAGCAGTGCGAGATAGTGGTCGACTAAATGCAAGCGGCGTCGACGTCCTTCTTCAGATAGATCCTGCTGAGCACCGGTAAAGGGATAGCGCTGCGCGGTGGCGGTGTTTGTGCTTCGCCTAGTCTCGTGTTCTTTTTGCCCACTCTTGCTGCTCAGCCCGACCGCAAAGGCCTGTTGGAGCATGTCCAGTATCGCCTCGCGAACACTGTGACGGCTGACTCGCAGAGCCAGTACAAGAGACCTCAAAGCGTGGCTCTTCTTGTTGCAGAGGTAGAGCAAACCGGTCCACGATCTCAGCATGACCAGTACTACCTGGGAGGTGATGCGCAGCATCTCATTTTGACCAACTCCATCGACGGCGGGTGCATCTGTGAAGCCTGATAAGCCCACCTATAGATAGAGTGATAGAGGTCACCGGGTGGGTCCTCGCGCCCCACTGCCCTGATGCTCGTGCACTCACCTCAACATCGCTTCCGGGCGCAAAGTGGCAGCGAGTGGAAGGCACGTCGACCAACAGCAAGACAGCTTGGGCAAGCGCAGGCGCTAACTCAGGAGGCCCATTCGCGATCCCATTCAAAACCGACCGTAGTCCACCTCCTCTGATCAGCAGCGGCAAGTCGTGGAGCGCTGCAAAGGGGTGGATGCCTAAGCAGGGATGGCGAGAGCGCCTCTCTTTGAAACGGCCGACGCACCAAGCTCCATCAGAGTTTCAAGACACAGATGCCTGAGCTTGTCATTGTGATGCTCTGCTACCGCTACGAGAGCTCTGATGACGGCACTGCTCATGATGTCGTCTTGATCCGGGGTGCGGCTAAAGTCATCCAAGACTGCCGCATCGATGATTGCGCGAACGAGCTTCAGAGCTTGTTCCCGCTCGTACTCGAATCTGTTATCGCGAATGAAAGTCTGCATCAAGAAGATGTCGAGACCTCGGGAACGTGCTCGAGCGATCAGAGCCCAAGGAGGTCTGATGAGAGCGCAGCGCAGAGTCCGATAGGCCGCTCCGCGCACTTCCTTGCCAGAGCCGTCCGAGAGGCAGGGCAGCACGCTGCGTGCGCCAACCGCCAGAGTCGATGAGCTTTTGAGGGGCAGTCTGAAAGGGGCCGAACTCGCTCACCAATCTAGCAGCTCATCAGGATCCGTCTCGTACCTCACTCTGGCGTTACAGCGGAGCAAACCTGCTAGCTGAGTCAACACGCTTTGCCTGCGCCGTGCAAGATCTCCCAGACCATGCGCATGGCTAGGAGTTCTCTGATGAGCTTCGCTCTTGGCCATAGCGGCAGCTCTAGCTCTTTGGGCGCTTCGCGTCATCGAGGGCGTAGTTGGTGGACCCATGGACGACAATGACTCGCTGCCATTCGACGCCTTTGCAGCGCCGCCAGACTCATCTGTCAGGGACGCCAACTTTGAAAGCTGAGCGAGGTTACGCATCAATGCCTGCACATGGTTGCGTGCCGCTTCAGCGTCCTCGACTGCGTGTGACAGTACGGATTCAGTAAGCGTGTGTATAGTGATGACGTGTACGGCGAATCGCACTTACTCGGCTTGACCCCTCTTTGCGTCTCTGAGCTCCGTCTTGACGCTTCGGTAATCAACTCTCGCCCAGCTAGACTGGGAGACTTGTCCAATCCCGCTGTGTTGTACATCGATCGATCTTGAGAGGCAACCGTGGCATACTGGCCCCGCGGACTACCATTGTAAAAGAGGGGAGGTGCCCTAACAGCTTCTTGGTTTTGCGTCATTGGCAACGTGCCGCCGCGTGGGGACTGCAAGCCCAGCGCACTGCCTGGTTGAGTGTAGCCGTAGGAAGCTTCTGACAGAGTTGTGCTGGGCGCAGGTGACACGGCTGCCGGGGCGAGCGAGCGGGATTTAGCGTGGGGAAGGCCTAGCGGTGCTACTCGCAGCGCAATTCACCTCGAACTCGCAACTCTGCAATCTGGCGACCAAGAGCTTCTATCTTTCTGTCTGCAGCTTCTAGCTCCCTCTCCACCTGTTTCCGCAACGCCTCTCTGCCTTTTATGCTGGCCGCCGAGCTGGGTCCTGGACCAGCGTTGGCCGACTGGCCAAGCGGTGGACCTGGAATCCCAGCGTGGTTCCCGCTGCTAAACACGAGCAGCAAATTCTCGGCGCCATCTTTGATCTTGAGCTCAATATCGAGGCGATTTTCCAGCTCCTCGAGCTGATGAACAGTACGTGAACAGAGTGCGGTGTCAGCGAGTAGCATCTGAGCTGAGGAGCATCATCGGGGTCTCACTAGATCGGCCATGTCGCTGTGTAGCGAGCGTCGAGAAGCAATCAAAGACGGATTTCCGTGCGCCTCCTGAGGACGCTGCTGGTTCTTGAAGCTAGCAGCGTAGGTGGAATGAATGCCATGGAGCCTGAAAGCCCCTGCTGATGATGAGAGCTGGCGCTAGCGATGACGATGGCAAAATGTCAATTGAGCGAGTGGACGTGTCTGATACAGGCAAGGTATGTCGTCGTTAGCGGGAAGTGTACCACAATCGTGGTACAGTATATGCTGCAAGTGCAACCAGGCCGCCTACTGCATGTATACTGTACGCATGGAACGACTGCATGGAGATCGCAGCGACCCGCGGCAAATACGTCCACGCGTGCGTGCACGGCGCTCGAGCCATATGCGCGAGAGGATGTGGAGAAGGAAGGTGCGCGCTGCCCATGCGCCAAGTCGAATCGAATGGCGAATCTCTCCAAGGACCCTCCGCAGACTGCACCTCCAACAGCAGACACATCCAGCATCAGATTGGCAGCGCGGTGTAGAGTTGCCCTTCCTTCTTCCACACACAGAGTGAAAGAATCAATCTTCGGAACCTCACGACAATTTCTTTGAGCACCACAAATGTCCTTTCAAAAGTTTGCAGATTCGCTGCCACCATCGCTGAGCCTGAAGGATCGCTCTGTGCTCTTGACCGGCAGCTCCAGCGGTATAGGTAAGAGGTGCCTTTCTCATAGTCGCAGGCATGTATGCGATGCTCAAGCTGGGTCTTTATCGACGTTGCAGGCAGACAGTGCGCTCTGCACCTGGCACGACATGGCGCTAAGGTGCTCTGCTGCGATTTGACCCCTACGCCGGCTCAAGAGAGAGTCGCTCCAGCTCCGTCGGACAAGCCACATTCTGATGCTCAGCCAGGTGGCTCGATCGATGCCTACACCGTTCCCACGCACGATTTGATCAACCAAGCAGGTGGGCGCGCGCAATTCTTCAAGATGAATGTCACAAAGGAAGAGGATTGGAAAGAGGCTGTAAAGTTGGCCACAGAGCTTGGAGACGGCAGACTTGATTTGCTCATAAACAATGCTGGTGAGCACCGAGTCGGTGGGCGGAGTTTACATGCCGCTGACACTCATACTGTTTGTATCCAGGCATTGTGCGCTTCTCGGGCGGGCTGCTAAACGAAACGATGAAAGACTTTGATGCCACAGTACGTGCTGTGGCGCATCAACTGAATGCTCGAAACCATTGGGCTGAAGCCTGCACCCCAATTTCTCCACAGTTCGCGGTCAACGTTCGAGGACTCTTCATTGGCACACGCGAAGCGCTAGCTCAGATGGTCAAGCAGCCTCCTCGCATCATGCCCGCGGACCATGATTTAGACCTGGATGAAGTGAGCCTGGCCGAATTGACTGGAGATGGCCCACGTCCGCGACCTGCATTCGATCAGCAGGATGCCACACCCGCAACGAGCGGCCGCTTGGAAGGCGACAGGGGCGGTCGCGGAAGTCGGGGCGGTATCATCAATATCGGTAGTCTACATGTGAGTGTGTTTGAACGAGCTTGACTGTCTGTCTGGCCGGGACTGACGCTGTCAAACGCTTGCCAGGGCATCATTGGTACGTCAGATTTATTACTCACGATGGAAGCAGTCGAGCCGCTCACAGCGCCCCTTCATCGGACGCCAGGCGGACCCGGGGAAGCAGCATACGGCGCCGCCAAAGGGGGTGAGTGAAGCTACGATCTCGAAGCTTTCGATCGCGCTGACAGCCTCTCTTCGCACGCGCGACAGCTGTCGTCAACTTCACCAGGCAGGTGAGGATGCCAGGAGGATTCGCGTGCGCACATGCGCATGTGCTCACTAAAATTCACTCCCATTGCCCGTGTGCAGGTCGCCGGGGACTACGCTTCGCAGCGCATCAATATCAATGTGAGGTCATTCCAAGATGTCCATGTCGTACCAGTAGCTGACCCTCTATCGTTTGTTCCCGCTAGTGTATCTGCCCAGGTGCGTCGAAGAGAAAGCAGGGACAAGCGCTCGCAGGCGTCTTCACTGACTCCCATACCCTCCAGGCTACGTCGAATCCGCGATGACTCTCGACGTCCCTCCAGCCCTGTCGGCAAAACGTCCGACGCCGTGGCCTCATCGCGGAACCGGTCGCGACGTCGCCAAGACGGTAGTGTGAGTGCGGCACGCTAGCTGAAACTTCCGCTCGCTGGCTCACGCCATCCGTTCTGTTCCCGCCTGTCAAGCTACCTCGCACGTGATGCACCTTGGTGAGTTTGAGTGGCTCAATTGCAAGACCGCTGACTGATTGCCGAACCTTTGCTTGTCAGGCTGACCGGATCCATCCTGATGGTCGATGGCGGGACGTCTGCGCGATAGGCGCGCTGCGCACTTTGCTGTCAGGGCGCATACAAGACTCTTACAATTTCGAATGCTTCGTTGCGCCCAGAGCAGGCAGAGGCCTCGGCCCTGCACTGTTTCGATGTGTGCCCTCCTTGTTATCGTCATCTACTGGCTGCTCTAGGCCACTCATGCGCGGTCTGACGCGTCGTTTCTTGACTGCCAAGGGTCCCTTGAAAGCTTTGCGTATGAGCTCATCGTTCGTCGGTTGACCTGGCGCAGTCATGCTGAAAGAGGGCGTCTTGTCGTATGCCATCATTGCGCAGTGAATGAGAATGTCGCTGTGTAGCGGCGTGCAGCGTCTTTGAGCTACGACTTGACCAAAATGAGGGGGAACTTCGCAGCAGGCTGCTCACCTGGTCAAGCCTCGAATGGGATTACTTCGGTGCCAAAAGTTGTGTCTTCTGACCCTGCATCCCAGCCAGCTGATGTCCCTACAATTGTGCCAGTCTGAAGGCCCGCTGACTTCACTGGGAGGTCGATAGCGGTCCGGCTGAGGTGTAGACGCTAGTCGGAGGGAAGATCGAAGTGATGTGGGCGGAACGTGATACAGAAAGGCTTCCAGGGGCACGCTGAAGATACTTTGTACCTCTGATGGGTTCAGTTTGGGCTGAATGAGCGGGTCGATCAACCACACCACAATAGGCGTGACCACCAGCTCGTTGGCACTCAGGAATGGTCGTAGCTCGCACAGCTTAATGGCGCGCCGACTGTCGATTGGAAGTCCTGTCTGTGTGATGCGTAATCGGCAGCGCAGCTTAGTGTCGAGGTGGTTATCAAGCTCATGCCGTTTCTTGCACCACTCACCTCTTCCCAAGCTTCTCGCCGCTGCTTGGTGTGCCCGGCATGCAAGCACAATGATTCGGCTAAGCCCATGCGTATGGCAACAATCCGTCTCTCTGCTCGCTCCACTCACAGCAGTGGCCTCTAGATCCTTGTCTTTCGCCTCGAACCTTCCGCCAGGGATGGCAGTGTCGCCGCCGTGCGACCTCAGAGCTACGGCGCGATGTGAAAGAACGGCGTGGAGGTCACTGTTGAAGGGATGACGTGCGAATAAGCTCAAGACTTGCATCTGCGAAGCGGCGAAAGCAGACAGGACAGCGATGCGACTCGCTCTTCTACTGCGGGCAATGCCCCCATCCTCGACGTAGCTTTGGCTCAAGCCTCTGCTCACCCATGTCTTCCTCCAAACAGCCCAAGGAGCACAGCAGCCCGTCGATAAGCGGGTATATCACCGGGACACGGCTCCGGTTCTGGAACGTGACGTCTCAGTCTATTGATGGCAGCAAGCGCTTCGACCTTGAGCGCAGAGAGCTCGGGAGGTGAGTCGAGGCTTTTGGCGGGAAGAAGGAGGCGGAAACATCGTAAGCAAGGGGCCAGCGCCGCGAGGCTCTTGCACAGCTCACTGGACATGTTGCACGCGACGTGGCATGATTGGTTTGAAGATCGATGCAGGCGAGCTAGTTGCACCAGAGAGTCCGAGGTGCGAGTGGAGAGCTTGAGTGTGACAGATGAGCGAGTGGGATCACGAGTAAGGTTTGGAAGGGCCGAGTGCTTGCAGGATGACTGATAAACAAGCAATTGTTGATTGTTAATATACGAATACTCAAGATCGCCCCGCAGGCGGTGCGGGGTTGCGCACGCGCCATGCTCGAGCTAGAACCTTGCTTTCACATTCACGTGATTGGATCAGTCATCAAATAAAAAATGATGCATTGCGCAATCACAGTGTTTTACGATCCCATTAAAACATGGGTCTCGGATCGTGAATTCAAGATTCGTAATTATTGGCGCGGGTCATCCAATTCGCGAGTGGGGCTGACATGGTCCACAAACTCGTGTCTGCCAGCTTGGTTCAACACAAGCTTTGCGCGTATGGTGACCTCTCCCAGTAGGTACGGTACCTGCTGCTCGGCGAGGGTGCTGGCCGCCGCGCGGAGCCCCTGCATCTCAGGTACCATGTATCCTACAGAAAGAATACCATGCGCACCATGATATGCACATCGCTCATGCCAGCTGAGCGCGCAGCATATGCAACGATAAGCCCACCAGCGCATGCACGCGCACGCGATAGACGGGCTCGACCCGTCACCCCTCCACCTCGCTCGCGAGCGGATCATAGCAGACGATCAGCAGCACCTCTCTCTCCGCCTTTGCGTTACGCCCACCATCCACCTGCCTTACGCTCATCATCACCTTTCGCAACCATGACCTCGCGACAGCGGTCCAGCGCAGAGGAAGAGCCGCTTCTGGGGCAAGGCGAGGCCGGCACTCTTTCGCCTCCGACAGAAGGGCTGTGGCCGCTGATCGTCGTGCTCATCACTTCGGCGCTCTGGTCGCTCGCCGACTTTGCACCCAAAGCTGCTGCCATAGATGCGCTGAGGAAGTTCTCGTGCGCAGAGTTCTACAGTGTGCACCCACACCCTTCGCCAGCAGATTTGCAGGCTTGGATGACGCAGAGCAGTGGAGCTGTCGAGTCATCGAGCGCGATGCTAGGCGCCTCTGGTGCGGCAGACTTTGCAAAGAGGGCGGCGATGATGCTGCTTGCTCCGCGATCCTTGGCTTTGCTCAACTCGCACGCCAGCGTTCATGCTGCGACATCGCTGCCCCACTCTCCTTCCTACTTTTGCACAGAAGGACCCAATCGCCCCGCCATCGAGGCGCAGACTGCTCGCTACGTCCTCATCACCGACACGCTGACCTCTCTGCTCACCCTGCTGGCCATCTTCTACTTTGGCCCCAAGTTGAGCAAGTGGGGTCGCAAGCCAGTGCTCTTGATCAGCTTGAGCGCAATTCTCGTCATGCAAATCGGCTTTCTAGTGCTCCCGATAGCGTATCCATACGGGCCAGACGTGCATCAGGTCGGCATACATCCTGTATTGACCATGTACCTCATCATCGGCGGTTACGTCATTTCAGGTTTGTTGGGAAGTGTGAGTGTCGGCGCGAGCGAGGACGAGTGCAGTGTACGCGACGCGGGACGTCGAGCTGACGCCTTTTAGTCGTGCGCGCGTCTAGGAAATGCTGCCGCTAGTCACCTTTCGAACGTTGGTCGCCGATCGCTCCACTGCCGCAAAGCAGACTCGCAACCTCACTTGGCTCACGCTGACGTACCTCGGAGGCGTCATGTTTGGGCCGCTGCTTGCCGGCCTCCTCGCGGAGATCTTTCCCATCACCTCCAACCGCATCGACGCTGCGCTCGAGTCGGAATGGTGGTACTGGATGAAGAGCGAGGCTCCCGAGCAGCCGCCGGTCTCGACTCCTCAACCCGTTCCTCCTTTGCCTCCCGGCCGAGCAGACGAGCGCAACGTGACGCCATTTGTCGTTTCAATTTCGTTTGCAATCCTCGCGCTCCTGTTTGCCGCGTTCTTTGTCGCCGAGTCGAACCCGACGCAGGCGAGTGCGCCTAGCGAGGCAGAGGAGCAGGATGTCGGCGCCTCGCAAAGCACCGCACCGCGCCGTACATCCCTCGCCTCGAAGCTCGGTCCACTGCGACTGCTCGTACCGCCCAAAGTCGACGGCAAGAGGGATTGGCGGTACTCGCGCCTCGCACTCGTTCAAAGCGCTGGAACTTCGGGTGGCACGGGTCTCACGGTGCTCATCGTTGGGACGGGTCACGTATGGGCTTGGGATCCTTCCTCGGTCGGCTTTATGCTGTCTTGGATAGGTGGAAGCCGAGCAGTGGTTCTCTTTGCCGTCGTGCCGCTGCTCGTCAAGTTGACGGAAAAGATTGTGCCCAAGCCAATGCAGCTGGTTGGTCTTTCGGATGCAGAGTTGGAGCGACTGGCCAAGGGAGCGCGCTCCGAGGACATCGGTGATGCCGACGATGAAGAGGACGTGGCGGATCGACGTGCTGCAACATCGAGCACCGATCGACTCGAGGATCGCGATTCTGATGCGCGGTTGAAACCGCTCGTGGTGTTGTGGAGATGCGCCGTCGATCTCTCGCTCGCACGCATATCCTTCTTGTGAGTGTAGCGAGCACGTGTACACCACCGAACGGCTTGACTGACGTTGGGCGTGCGCGCACACACAGCACGGAAATGCTGGGATACATGATCATCTCTACCGCTGCGCTGCTGAGGAACAGCCCGCTGATGCTGTTTGGCACAGTCTTTCTCTCGCTTGGAGGCGGTTACGCACCGGCAATGCAATCCGCCTGCATTGCTCTCGCTGCAGACGTATTTTCTGGCGTTGCAGTCGAAGACGAAGCGGGCGCACCCAATGCTCACAAATCCCTCGTGCCCAAGAAGCTGGGTTCGGCAGATGCAGCGCTATCCGCCTTCTCCATCATCGACACGCTCGTGCAGACGTGCGTGCCCATCGCCACAACCTCGCTCTACGCAGCCACAAACGAGACGTTCCCCCCTGCTCCCTTTATCCTGATTACCGCGTTTTACGCCATCGCTGTGACTGCTCTCAGTGGCTTGAGCCCTCACAGATCGCATCATCACTGATTCTATCTCAGACGTAACATATCTCGTTGTCGTCATGGCTTGCGTGGTTCGTGAAACGAAGCGCTAGAATGTGCGCGCGCATGCGATTACCAAGACGTGCGCGTCAAGATACGACAGCGAGAGTGGACAGGATGGGGGGAGCAGTTGAACTTGCACAAAGGTAGGAAAAAGAAATGCACTGGTGCCGAATGGAACGTGTGAAATCGAAGACCGAATGGGTACTCTGGGCGGAGAAGAGGAGAGCAATTTCCCTCGTGCGTGAGTTAGCGCGACGCCGTGGTATAGAGAAGAGATCTGATGCGGGAGGCGAGATTGACGGCGAGAAGAGTTTAGTGCAATGTCAGCTCGGTGAGGGTGCAAATCGATGCGTGTCCAGAGCGGCCCAGGGCGAAACTCCTCAAGTTGGGGTCGACAGCCCACGAATTGCACCCTCCGCTCCGCGCACCGTTCCAATGCCAGGTAGACGCCGCCGCCTTCTTCTTCCACTCACTTTTGCACCCCTTCGCACCTATTTATAGGGCAAACACGGCACCCAAGACGGCAACAGCTCCAGCAATGGCCACGGTGCCCAAATGTTGGGGTGCCTTGATCATTGCACCATCCGCAGGTGCGGTGGGCACGGCCTGCACAGAAACGCTCGAAGTAATGCTAGGTCTGCCTTCAGAGCTCGAAGGCGTGAAGAAGCCGACGGCAGTGTTTGTAGGGTCGGTGTAGAAGCCAGGTGTGACTTGAGCCTGGGGTGAGCCAAACTGAACGCTGCTCAGAGCAAAGGAAGATGTCTGGGGAATGTTGCTGTCGAAGGAGTAGGAAAAAGATTTGGCCAAGGAGGAGACGGCAAAGGTTCCTGCTGAGTTGGTTGTGCCACCTGCATTTGTCTGTGCTGGATCAAACACTGTGCCCGTGTAGGGAGGCTGGGTCACTGGCTTGAAATCGGGCGCCTCAAAGTCCTCGACTTGCTCAATGGCGAGCGCGGGTGCAGCAGCGAGTGCCGCTGCGAAGAGTGCAAGGAGCGTGAAGCGCATCGTGACGTCGGGAGAGGGAGTGCGATGATGGCAAAAGGAGGGGGGGATGATGCGAGAGGCGTGATGAAGGGCGAGAAAAGGGGCGTTCAGTGTGATGGTGGAGAATGTCGGGAATGCGATGCGCGAGTGGCAATGTCTGCTGAAAGCTC